TTCAGAAATTAGATTTTTAACATAGGCAGAAACAAATATAAAATAATAAAATAAGGGATTTTAAAAACGCTGTAGTCCAAATTTGAATTAGAAGTGTAAGTATGGATTATGATGGATTTTATATTAAGAAAAACTATCTCCTAGCTCTGTCCATTGAAAAAATCCTAAAATAAGGAACAAACGAATTGCAAAGAACATTCCTAGCACCCAGATGTAGTGTTTAAATACTATTTCCCTTTAAAAGAAACAAGTGCAGGCCAGAAGGGAATGGCAAGAAATATTCAAAGTGATAAATACCAAGCACCTACAACCAAGATTACTTTATCCAGCAAAGCTATCATTCAGAACTGAAGGTCAGATAAAGAGCTTCACAGAGAAGGAAAAGCTAAAGGAGTTCATCACCACCAAACCAATATTATATGAAATGCTGAAAGGTATCCTTTAAGAAGAGGAAGAAGAAAAAGGTAAAGATACTAATTATGAACAACAAACATGCATCTATCAACAAGTGAATCTAAGAATCAAGTGAATAAATAATCTGGTGATTATAATAGAATCAGGGACATAGAAAGGGAATGGACTGACTATTCTTGCGGGGGAAAGAGGTGTGGGAGATGCGGGAAGAGACTGGACAAAAATCGTGCACCTATGGATGAGGACAGTAGGTGGGGAGTGAGGGCGGAGGGTGGGGTGAGAACTGGGAGGAGGGGAGTTATGGGGGGGAAAAAGAGGAACAAATGTAATAATCTGAACACTAAAGATTTAATTTAAAAAAAAAAGAAAATAAACAGTGCAAAGGAAGTCACCAAGCCCACGCTCTGAAGTGGGTCTGACTACGGCAGGAGTGAGGAGGAGACCCCGCAGCACAGCTCAGCCCTGTGTGGCCAGGACAGACGCGGGTGCTGCCAGCCAGGTGCCCTGGCACAGCAGTGACAGCGAAAAACAGCGGAGGCACCTGCCAGCTCCCTGTTCTGCAGCAATCTCATGCTTCCCTACAACAGGGGCTGGCAAACTGCAGCTCAGGGTCCAAATCCGGCCGACCCCCGGCTTCTCCACGTGAGGTTCTACTGGGCTACACCGCCTGCGGCTGCTTTTGTCCACAGCACGGAGCTCACGGTGTTGCAATAGACTGTAACGCCTGCAAAGCCAAAAACATGAAGTCTCTGACCCCGACGGAGCGTTTGCTGACCTCTGCTCCACCACGAGCTCATGAAGTGACAAACCACTTCCCTCGCTAGGTCTTAAACACTTCCCTAACGTGAAGGGCCGATCTGACTCATTTCCACTCCATTCACTGCTGGCGCCCACCGACCAGTGGTGCGCGGGCGTCTGTGGCAGAGAGCGCTAACTGGAAGTCTTCCTTCAGGAACAATTGTCTTATTTCAGCTGGACTGCCCCCGCCCCCAGCTGCCTGACAGCAGAAATGAACAAGAAAAGGAGGGTGAGCCCTTTGTCCTTTGCCTCTCCTGCGGGGAGCTGAGCAGCCACCTCGGGTTCAGAGAGCAGAGCTGCGCCCCGGGCGGCCTTGCTGAACTGCTGTTTCACAGAAGCTGCCTATACCTGACTGAAGCCGGTGGATTTGGGGGTTTCAGTAACAGTGGTTGAATTTGTGTCCTATTTTGTAATTACACTTCAAAATGTTTCCATTTCTTTCAGTTCCCCCAGAAGAAAGGAAATTGTTTCTCACCTTTTAGGAACCCTAAGGAGAGGTAGGAGCCCATGTGGAAACCAGGACTTCAGAATCTCTGGGAAGCCTGGGCTCCAGCCCCTGCACTGCAGTGCCTCTCCGGTGACTCTGGGCATTTCCTTGTCCCTGGGATCTGTCCTCTCGTTCTCCACCTGCTACCCACGGGCCACCCAGATGGGAATGGACTGACTATTCTTGGGGGGGAAAGGGGTGTAGGAGATGCGGCCCCTCTTAGGGGCCCCCTGTACTTCCCAGAGTGCAGTCAAGCTCCGGAGATTTAGCCAGAGAGGCCCCTCCTATGGGGAAGAGCAAGGGACACAGGCCAGCCACACTGCTCACCCCCACTTGGCCCCTCCTCAGTGCCCCTCCAGCCCCCTGCCAGGTGGGGACTGTGTTTTCTAGACCAGGGAACAGAAAAGCTACCCGGTAGAGGAGACCAAAGAAAGGACAAAGTGTCAAGAAAGGGCCCAGCACAACCTACAGGGCCACGGGGAGGGCAGTCCGCTCTAGGAACCTGAGGCCGAGCTCAGGGCTGAGGGCCAGGCCACAGCCCGGCCCTGAGAGGCTGGGCCAGAACCCTGGCCCCCTGCCTGGCTGCATAAACACTCTGGCTGCCAGGCCCCCAGGTTCAAGTGTGCTTCGGAGTTGTCTGCAAGCCTGAAGCCACGGCGTTCCCAGCCTCTCCCCGGGCACTCAGAAAACAGGATTTTAAAGAAGACGGTTCTGGATTCAACCCCCAGCTCCAGCCACTGACTTTGTGACCCTAACTTCTGAGTTACTCATTCTTCGTCTATCAAGTTTAAAAACCAAGTCCTCCTTCTAAGATCATGGGCGGGTCACATGAGGCAATGTGTCGGGCTCCCAGCACAGGCCCGGGCGCTGGAATGACTTCCATGGAGGCGGGGCGAGGGGAGAGGTGACAGGGCCACTGGACACGGGACAAGCAGCCTGGGATGGCATCACGGGTCAAGAACTGCGCGACCAATGTTGGGTCTGGCTGAGGCCGGAGGCCAGCTCTCCTCTTGTGGCCAAAACACAGACACTGGAGGAGCCCCCAAATCCATGGCTTCTGCTCACACAGGCAGCCTCCGGGTGACGCAGAGCCCGCCCACCCCAGCCACCAGGAAACAGGATGATCTAGGCAGAGGCAGCCACTCAGCTGGTTGGTTGGGGTTTCTTGATGCGGTGGAGGTGAGGCGGAAGGGCGGGGGGGCACCTAAGCCCCTGCGACTCTGAACCCCCAGGCTGGGCAGGGGAGCAGCCAGCCTTCCGAAGGCCCGGGCAGCTGGAGGCAAAGGGCAGGGCCACCAGCCTCCCGTGCTCAGTGTGGCAGGGCATGAGCAAGTGCCCTCACGGCTGATTCCAAAGTACAGCCCCTGCGGCCCCGGCACATTGGGGCCAGAGCGAAGCTGTCTGCAGAAAACCAGAAAGGAAGGCACGGGCGCGGGCGCAGGAGTCTCAGGGCCTGCCCAGGCCACTCCGCCAGCGCCTTGTATGGCTGGCTCTGCGACCAGCAGATCAGCGCTGAAAAAGCGATGACTCAGGACTGAACAGAGGCTCCCTCTCAGCAAAAATGAGGCCCAACTTCTCCCCTCGTCAAACTATTTGTCCTCAGACGGACACAAGTTCAAATGACCAGAGTCCCACAGCTGGGGAGGCAGCGATGCCAAAACTAAAGCTTTGGGAACAGGGGCGCCCTGATGGGCTGGGCTCAAGCCCAAGTTAGCTTTGGCCCAGGAGTGAGGACAGCAGCGGGGAGCTGAGGTCACCCCCACACTCCACCCATCGGGGCCTCCCCCTCCCCAGCGGTGGGGGCCAAGAGCAGGATGGGGAAAGGGAAAGGAGGAGGAGGTGGAGCGAGACACCGGAGTCACAGCCTGCAGATCCCTAGCCCCAGCCAGAGCTGGGTGCCCGGCTACACACCGTCACTCACCAGCACCTCAACGCAGAGCCAACAGAGCTAAGTCCACTTTTTTGCAGGTGAATGAAATTTCCTGTTTATTACGGACAACGCTCGCTTTTGGTGAGAGAGAAGGGAGAGGTCACGGTTCCATTCCTGGTCAGGCCACATGCCTGAGTTTTGGGCTTGACCCTAGTAGAGGGTGCATAGGAGGCAGCTGAGCAATGATTCTCTCTCATCGATGTTTCTCTCTCTCTCCCCTTCTGAAATCAATAAAAATAATCTTTTAAAAAATGGTTAAGTCTTGCTCTGGCCAGTGTTGCTTAGTGGTTAGAGGATGTCAGATTAGATCAGTGTGGGAGGCATCTCTCTCTCTCCCTCTCTCTCTCCCTCCCTCCCTCTCCCTCTTCCTCCCTCCCTCTCCCTCTCCCTAAGAATCCATGGAAAAAATACCCTCAGGTGAGGATGAACAACAACAAAATATGGTTAAGTCTTACGTTGTGCACATTTAACCCCTCCCACCCACACAGTCCTGGGGGCTGGGAGAAGGGGGGGGAAAGGTGGAGCCCATCAGGCTGTGTGGGCAGGAGGCCCTCACCTTGGCTGGGTTCCTGAGCCTCCTCTGGGTCCCTTCTGCCTTCCGGGGTGCCTCCTGAGTGGGGGTGCCTTCCCGACCAGCCATGCTTCCCTCTCCCCACACCAGCACCCGGCACCCAGCACCGAGTGCAGAGGCAGCAGCTGTGACTGCCGCCTGCTCGCCCTGCTCCAGCACCTCCAGACACAGGCAGTTCCAGCAGCCAGAGGGGAAAAGCTGCTTCATACATTCCTAAAGCTTCTAGAACATGAACAATAGAGGGTTTGTCTCCAATCAACTTCTGTTTCCTGC